TACAAATGCAATATTAGTTTTTAGAATTATCCTTTACTTTCGATTTTATCAATTTTTTGCAAGTTCGAGCTACGGGGCTGGTATCAGTGGGGTAAGTGAGCATACTGACTACCATAACAGCGGGAATAGAAAATTGGCGAGTAGACGTGGGCAGAGGGGAAGCTCGTACAGGGATAAGGACGGAACTTCATCATAGTGTGACAGAGCTGGGGGAGCGCGGTAAGCCAGCTAGTTCATATTGAGTGTTAATTGCTAAAAGTGATTTGTAGTCATAATCATAAGAACTTTGCTTGCCCGATATTATACTGAACTATACATAAAAAGACCAAGACTGAAAAGGAGGAACGTCGGTTCCCTTCGCAGATTAGGAGATACTGCCAGAAGACAAACTTTACTCGTACATCACTCCGACCACGCCACATTGGGGCTGCAGACCATATTGGCGGGAATCAAAAAACAGAGTACTTGAATGAGATCTTCTCGGCAGAGGAACCATCACCTTAATTAGCCACCGCCTCTGCGGCTCCTTGCTGGTCCTTTCGCCCCAGTGTCGTTCTTGGTGTCAGGACACCAGTAGCCCGCGGAAGCGGTGTCTAGTTGAGGTGTCCCCTCCTCTACCTCCGAGAAAACATGTCCTCGCCGCTTTTCCACTTTCAGACTCAAACTTTCTACTTTCTCTGTCGGACGGTTTCGCCTACAAATTTGTTAGGAACGAGTAATATTACCCTTGAGGAGTCACTCGAATATAATACGCTATGTTACCGCGCTGATGGAGGGGTTCGCACGCCATGTGCCTAATCTGCGATAAACTTCCTCATAAGTGTCAGGCTGCTTCTCCACAAAATGGACAAGAAAGAAAGGTGACATAATGTACGAAGCAACACATAAGCAGGCACCAAGTTTCTTGGGTGATTATTATACGTCTGTGAAACGCAAAGTCCACGCAAACATTACTCCGAATTAACTCAGGGATGAATGTTATTTTACAGACATACGCACTGAAAACTTTCTGCGTTTTGCGAATGCCCTGGGCTTTCTTGTCTGATCTTCAGTCTCTTCGCTCTCTCCAACAGTGCGCAATGCGTATCATGTTATCTTTCTTTCTTGTACCCATATGCGCAATGCAAGCCATAGCGTTGCGAGGCGCAAGTTATTTCAGCGCTTTGATGATTCCGATTGGAACAGAGTATCCTTCGACTTTCTGTTTGCATCATCGATAAACAGTAGAGAAAGCAGTCGAATCGAGGTGCGTTAGTGGGAGCCGATCCCCTACCTTCACTTTTGAGCTGGTACAGGGTGACCACCTTCACTTTTGGAATAAACATTTTTTTTCGCTGAACGATAAAGAAGGGAAATAAGCAAAACAAACGCAAAAAAAGATAAGCATATTTTATGTATATGGCGGCATATATATTTAAAATAAACATGTTTAGCAAGTGGTGTATTTAGAAGTAAAAGTTAGCGGAACTGTACGGATTTTATTAGGTAAATTTTGTCATAACGTACTGCGAAGAAAGCAGGTCGATCCAGGGAGTAACCGCCAAGAACCAGAATTTTGAATAATTAAATAGTGAAAAATCATGAGAAATTTCCACCGTTATAAATCTGATGTTTGAAGATGTCGGCAACTGCGACTTCATAGGTTTTGAAGAGTAAATGGTGCTTTATCAGAGAGTGAAAAAACCGAGTCAGTTTAAGAGATAGTCGCCGAAAACCAGGATTCTAAAAAATTACGCCATTTTAGCGTGTTTAGTGACAGCTGACAGTTAAACTCATATAAATCTTGAATGTGAAAATGTGTGATGTTGCACTTTATAGGTTTTGTAGAGTAAGATCTGTCTTGAATTATATATTAGCCGTACTGATCCATTGAAACAGCGCCGAGATCCAGGGTCCTGAAGAAACAGGTTATAAAGCGCTTTTTTGTTCCTGAACTTTTATTGTACGCAATTGTACAAGATTTATAGTTTATCAATAACAAAACGATCATTAGTTAATTACATCGATAAGCAACTTATAAACAGAAAGCATTAAGACGATGAATCGTTCATCAAGATCATGCGACAGTCTGACTACTTTTAGCAAGTTCTTCTTTCAGCCGTTTCGAGATGCCGCTTTCATGCGTTTCGTCGTCCCAGTTATCTTCCCATACATTCATCTCTTCATCATCTGCATCGTCTGTCCTTCCGCCCATTCTTGTACGAGAAACTCTTCAAACTCTTCGTCATCGATGGCTTTCTTAGTCTTTTTCTTGGGTACATCCTTCTTTGTGATAGTAATTCCAGACATTTTTTGAAACTCAAACTTGGGTAATTAAACCCAAGTTTTTTGAACTTTAACAGCTCTTAACTTCTTCAGAGCTGCATGAATCATGTTGCTACTTTATACGTTAGATTCTCATCAAGCTTTCTGATATATACCATGTGGGGGTTTAGGGCCTCCTATGACTTATGCCCGTGGGGGGGAGACTTTTCATCACAAATTCTCCCCTGGCGGCCTCCACCCAGTACATTAAAGTGGGCTAAAATGGCGTAATTTTTTAGAATTCTGATTTTCGGCGACCATCTCTCAAATCGACTCGACTCTTTCACTATCTGATAGAGCACCATTTACTATACATCAGATTTATAACGGTGGAAATTTCTCATGATTTTCCACTATTTAACTACCCAACATTCTGGTTCTTGGCGGTTACTCCCTGGATCGATCTACTTTCTTCGCTGTACGTTATGACAAAATTTCCTTAATAAAATCCGTACAGTTCTGCTGAGTTTTAGTTTCAAATACTCATTAAGCGTGTTTATTTTAGATAATTATGCCGCTGTATACTTATTTATTTATTTAGTTACATGGACAAGCCCATGAGGGCAATGAAACAAAAGAAATCAACGTCGGAATAGCTGAAAAGGAACATAGCAACAAAAAAACAATTGGTAAAAGAGCAACATTCAAACATTAACAAAAAAAAAACAACACATGTCACGAATGATTTGATGTTAAAAGCAGATAGTTCTTAAGAATAGCTCTAAACTGACAATGAGTAGCTTTTACGGAAGCATGCATGTTTAGAAGCTTATCAAGGTCACGGGTGACTCCGTTGACGAAAAGTTCTTCCTCACATTCCTTCTCGTTTAGATATTACAATAAATACAATATAATAACATATACAATATACAGGGTGTCCCAAAAAATGTGAACGCTGTTTGATCGTTAATAACTCCGTTGCTTTCACGTCTTCCGCCGAGCTTGAGGCACCATTCTGTGGAGCGAGGTTCAACTTAGATTTGTAGTATGGAGCGAGTCATAGATCGCTGTTCGTTACCGTAAGAATACGGTATGAACTTCTAGCATGTGGATCTATTGTGAAATATGCCATTTGACAAAAGTTTATTCAAAATATCTGAGAAATCGTGTACTAGGGTTTTCGTGCACGCTGATTCTATTAGACAACTTTTTACGAGTGTTTATAGCTTTTTTGACGGGGTAATCTCATTTCTGACAAATGCTGGAAATTCAGTTATTACGGTTTACCTAGGATAACCTCGGGAAGAAGCACCACAATAAAGTGGAAATTTCATAGTCGAAATCAGCGTCTTCCCTTACCATAATATAGAAGTTTTTGGCTTGTTTGGTTCTGTTCCGAGGCAGAATACGGCCTCCAATGGCCGAAATTCCTTGTCAAAGTTCCTACCGTAGTCCTACAGTAATGAAGAGCGATCGCCGATTCGCTCGACACTGTAAATCTAAGTTAAACCTCGCTCTACAGAATGGTGCCTCAAGCTCGACAAAAGACATGAAAGCAAGGGAGTTATTAACAATCAAATAGTGTTCACATTTTTTTGGGACACTCTGTATATAATACAATATATACAATATAATACAATGTAATACAATATATACTAAAAATATAGAAATATATAAAAATATGCTTTTAATGATCTCTTTTGCATTTCTTTTGTTTATTTTCCGCGCACTGGAGGCAACGACCTGGAAGGGAGACTCATCGACGTTTTTGAGAGGTGAGTGACCGGCACTACCACCTTCACTTTTGGCGTTCAGTGGTAGCTGGGATCACCTTCACTTTTAGGGTAGTCGGCTCCCCCATCGCAACTCTGCTTAGACAGTCGAAGGCATACCTCGAAGGCAAATGGCGGGGGTCTGTCACTTCGTGCTCCGGAGCTCTCTTTCACGCGTTTTGGTGCTCCGGAGCTCTCCCCTTTCACGCGTTTTGGTGCTGCGGGACTCCTCTAGATCTGGCACACCCCCGGAGCAGAGATTTGCGAGCACCGGGGAGGGGTCCAATTTTTCCCATTTCGCTTTCTTCACCGTGACGTCACAAGAAGGCGAATGGGACCCTCCCCGGTGCTCGCAAATCTCTGCTCCGGAGATGCGCCAGATTTGGGAGAGCCCCGGAGCACCAGAATGCGTGAAATCGGAGGGCTCCGGCGCACGAGTGGCAAACCCCCACTGGGCAGAGCCCGGGATCCTCCCATTTTCGCTCCGGAGATATCCTTTCGACTGTCTGAGTGAGTCGAATAAGACAAGTGCGAGCTCGCTGGCACGCTCCTTAGCGAAAACCGAGGGCCGCGAAGGCAACATATTCGGAATGCACAACATTTGCAGTAAGTTTCGACTCGCTTTAGACGGAAATTGGATTGGCGGGCATCTGGCTCGCAACGGCTCGCGCCGTTTCGCTGCTACAGTCTATCATATCGTGCTGAGAACCCAAGTCTGCGTCTCTTCATTCTCCTCAGTCTTTGCTTGGCAAAATGCCATCGCTATGCGCTCGCAAAGCCTCCAGCGGTGCGCAGAGCCTCCAGCTCCACGTAGAATGTTCCGCCTACTCCGGGATGAAACCGACTGTAACTATCAATACTTTCGCCGCAGGTCATCGCTTTAGCATTGGAGCGCGGCAGACATCACGAACTTGACTGTTCGCTATCCACTATCACGCTTCATGCTTCCCATTCATCTGAATAATAATGCTTGTCTGTACATGCATGTCGCTGCTGCTTGTGCTTTGTTCACCGACAGTCACATTGACATATGTTACCTTACATACTGATCGTGTGTGGTGGCGAGTTTATAGTGACTTCTTCAGAACAAATGGTTCCAGTCGAATAACATCTTCTAGGTAAAGATTTAAGCGATTTATAACATTGCTGTTCTCTTCTTTTGTAGACGTCGAAGTTGCTCGCAACTACGCATCCAAGTTATGACCGGCTACGATGTGCCGGGATGTTTTTTTCCATAGACACTGCTTCATTGTGTTGTTGATGATTTAGTTGTTGTCTCCTTGATCTGTGATTAGTTTTAATATCAGCCTTCATTTTGATGTAGCTTACCAGCTGTTTAGAGGCTCAGGTGAACCTCGCTACATTGTACTGTCCGCGTTTTTTGAAACGCTACCTTCTGATGAGGGATGAAAAACGCAATTTATCTTACAGTTATGACTAATGCTGGACTAGCTTTGTCACGTCTGCTTCACTAAGCAAGCATATCCGTACTTCTTTTTCTTTCGCGTTCCCCGATCGTATGACAGCGGGGTAATACTCACACATTATGTCTCATCAGTTAGAATTGTCAGACATTCGCTTAATCTCGTGTTTTTACCATTCAGTACCGGTGATTTTACCTTGTTCGTTGTGTAGCTTCTTTCGGTAATGGAAGTGAAGAAGTACTACTATATCTATTGTCAAATTTCAGTATGTCAAAAGGAAAAATTTAGCTCAAATGACTCGAGTCAAAGCTGCAAATCATACCCTGAATATGAAACTTTCTATGATTATCTCATTTCGATCAGTGACTTAACAGAGAACTGCCCGAATAATGCAGTCGTAATAAAAAAAAAGTTTGTGTGTACTGATTTCTGGTGAATATTATTAGGGCAGAACGAGGTCTGTGTCCTAAGCGCTAATCTTCGCTTGAAAATTAGTAGAAATTGGTATGCTTAAAAGCAGCTGGGCAGCACCACTCTGCTGCAATCGCTATGCACGCTATTACGTATAGACACTCGGCGCCAGCGTGTTAAGCCATAGGCTGCGTTCATACTGATCCCGAAGTTCGGGAGCAGTTCCAGCACAGCGCTCGAAGTTAGCGCTGTGAACTGTGCCCGAAGTTCCAGATCAGTATGAACGCAGCATAGCGTGAATTTCGTGATGTCTGCCGCGCTCTAATGCTAAAGCGACGACCTGCGGCAAAAGTAGTGAAAGTATACATAAAAAGTACCTATATATAAAGTACATATAAAGTATAAAGTTAGATGTTGTGCACTACCGAATACGTCCCGGACGCATCGCAGGTGATCGTACCTTGTGCGTTTCGAATCCGTCAGAAACTTTCCCACTTAGAATGGTTTTTTTTCTTTTGCTTTCTCGACAGCTGCTTTCCCATTAGCATTTGCTTGTTTTGTTTTTAATTTCTGTCGTTTATCTCATATCGTATTTTGATGATTGCCGTTCTGGAGCTTCTAATGATAGCTTTGCTTTCCTACCCAAACTATTCCGGGCCTCTGTGCATGTCTTCAAATGCATAGAAAAATACCAGATTCAAAAGCAAGTCCTCACCCCTCGTTCATTTCTGAAAGTGGAAATTGAAGATTTAGAGAGACTACTCTTTGCCGAACTCAAAAACTAAGATCTTCTGAAGCTTTTCAATCTCTGAAACTTCGCATGGCTCTGAAACAACAGCGGGAGCGGCCATACTATTCCAGGAGGTGATTCCTGCGATTCCTGTAATTTCTGCAAGTTCTATGACTCCTCAACTTCCGATGTACAGCAATACGGAGCGCTTTGCGGATTTCGAAATAAGTTGTTTATCCGCAATATAAATTGTTGCGGGGCCCGCAGGAACCACAAGAATCGCAGGAATTGCAGGAATCACGTGATTGTGTATACTACCGGTCCCATTCCGATCTCATGCATCCGTACCCACGGCTCAAGTGCAATTTAGACGTCAGATTTTAGTTTTGGTGTCACAGCTGTCTGCATCAATGATGAACATCATTTGCACTACACTACCGGCCAATTCAGCAAGCAATTGTGTTATTTTTTCTTGTGCGTTACTCATCTATGCACCGGTGAGTGCTCGGATCGTGCATTTCCTTTTCTCAGCAGAATCATTCTCACTCAAAGCATTCTTTCCATCTCTTTGACGTCAGAAGTTCCGTGTAGCACCAAAATCCATTAACCTTCTTGCCTTGTTGTCGTCAAGGAGGTGGGAGGAGGTAGAGCAGAGGAAGTGGTGTAGGGCAGGCTTCAGCCATTCCAGCTCCTTTGTCTTATCGATCGTCTCATTCACTGCTGAAAACGTGAAAATTGGCGGGATTTGGGTCGTTTTGGTTTTTCCAACGCTTTACGAGCGAGACTTTTACAAAATGGGCTTTGTGTTTCAATATTGCTCGGCTAAATGTTTGCATCCTGTATGTCAACCAAGAGGGCAAAACGATACCTGCTGTCACGTAAGTCATACCTCGGCAGGTTGACTTTCGTTTCCTTGAAAGTTTTCAGTTTATTTTATATTTCGTTTTTTCCCTCATACTTCTTTTCGACCCTCAATCATTCAAACATCTCCAAATGACTAAACATTGTCTTACAATCTTCGCTCTACACCTTTAACCTGATCCGCTGTTGAATTTGTATGTAAACAAGCACAGTGTTTTCTGCGTGCGATTCGACTACGTGATTATCTAACCAATTCTCCTATGTTTATTTTCCGTGATTTCTTCTGAGACGATAACACCCACCCTCCCGCAAATTTTTATGCATTCGATTAGATAAAGTTTTAAGCTGTCCGGTGCCATCAAACATGCCATTGATTGTTCCTCGGCTGTTGACTGAGTGTAAGAGTTCTCACGCAATGTTTGGCCTTCTCTTCATCAGTATTAGTCATGATTTATGTCATCGCTTATGATAAAAATTTCACACTTTCTTCAAGACTTCAGTTTCCCATAAGTTGCTTGCAACTTTCACCCATGCACTGCTTGAGTATACTGTGATTTCTCAAAGTTTTTCTATACCAGTAGCGGATTCCCTACTTTGTTATCAGCGATTATAATATTTGAGGTAGTATAAATCAAGTATTTGGCGGAGATAAGGTTTGACATGCTACATGTGCCTGTGGGACATATCTTTGGGCTGTTAGCTACCCAATTTGCCTAGCCTACAGTCTTTGTCGTGATTTCTCCCTTCGTGATTCATTTGCAATCTTGTGGATTATATAGGTACATCGCACAGTTTTCCCGACTTTCGCTTTCGTTCGCGAGATCTTCATGTTTTATCGCAATCTTGAAAAATTATCCGAGTATTTAATAGTTAGTACCGGCATTTTTATGCTGTTTCGACCTTTAAATAAAATTTGAGTTCGAGCGAAGAGAGCACCTTTTCGACTTTAGTCATGCTCTTTCGTGGGAAAAATCTTGTCTACGTGTGGACACGCTAATCTTTACGGACTGGACCGCCAAAGCTCTGCATCCTCCGCTACCCATTCTTCTTCAAATCCCATCTAAATGGTTCATAACACTTCGATCATGTTGACTATTGAATGATTGTCTCCAAAGGTAAAATGATGGAAGTTGTGATTCACTTAGGCAGTGATTCATTCTACTATTTGTGCTGTTCGATGACTATTGCTACATTGTTCTTAATTCTTATTCGTATTCTCTGTTTCCTCTCAGTCAGTAACCAAGTCCGCATATACTCACAATTTCGAGTGTCTAGGGCTGCGAATAAAGGAGGTCCCCTCCTTTTATATTTTCCCATTGTTCAGGAAATATGCTTTTAGCCAATATCCTGCTAGAGCAGACTTCCAAAGGCCGTCATTATTGACTTTTTACACATGGCTGGTTGCAAAATTACATAATGCCCGGCGCACTAATGCAGTAATTGTCTTTTCTTTTTGAGCATGTTTTTACACAGGGCAGGCATGAAGCTTCCGATCCTTCCGATGAGAACAGGGGCATATCTGACGAGTTCTATTGTGGTAAGGTTTTTTGCATCACTTTATGGTCTTATAGAATCTTGGAGTCGCTGCAAGTTCTATTTTAATCAGTCACCTTTTGAGGAATGAAATCTTTAGCCAGTGGCGGTTGATGACTATAGCCAAGCTTGTTGTCTGAAAAATCAGTCTCCTCTCTGGGTTGCAAATGCGGCAGGAACTTGCAGCGGGAGTAGAAGAGAACTTTCATACAGCTTTTTTTCGCCCATCATGTGCATTTTGTGTTTTTGAGAATGGAAAGCAGACTATAACCGCTCTTTTTACTATCCGTATCTCGCTTATGTCCTAGAGCTTAGGGGAGATGAGTATTCTTGTGCAAGAAAAATTTGATCAGAGATTCCTTAACACAGGACGACTCTTGTATGTCCGTGATTAGCACAAGTAAAAGACGGCATCAAGAAATACACTTAGTTATGTACAATGCGTTAGTAATCTTACCATCCACCTTTTGCGTTCGTAGCGATTCTACGCTTCGTTGACAAATGTCATTTTCTTTCAACTTTCACGTTCTCCCTTCAACTGTAAAATCGTTTACTTTTCTGTTTAGTCTCTATTGATTACGGTAGAAACTTTGTGTCTCCGCTGTAGTGTGAGACGTTGTTCGAAGGCGTATGAGACCTTAACATAATACAAGTGCTTGTAGAAACAACCCCAGATCGTTTATAGCATTTTCTTAGCCAATTAGATCGCCCGATATTTTAAAAATGGTAATCATTTGGAATAAAACCGTCAGCGAAGCCTACAGAGTAGTATTTATCACGCTTCCGTTTTCTCGTGGTACATATAAAATCGATATCACCGATAAATCATTCATTTTCTTAAGATTGTGTCGTCCGTCACATAAATGCTATCATAGAGCCTCAACATAAACGCCTCTATACTTTTTATTTGAAATTTTCTACAGCTCCGTGTCTATGAATGAAATCTAAGGTTCATCAGCAACACAGCATGGTACGATAACATTATATGCGAAAGGTAAAGAGAATTATATTTAATGCGCCGTGTATTTGCTTACTCTTGCGGTTTTCCAATCACATGGTTTCATAAGGGACTTTTCTGCTTTTCCAGCGGATGTTTTCACCAATAGGGGTGGTTGAATGGGAAGTTTTATTTTTTTATCAGCACGTTGTGACATTTCTAATCCTTCTTTCCAGTCTGGTGTTTGCGCTTATGATTTTGCTATTTTCGATGTATTTGAAAAGAGCTTATACTTGTTTCTTAGTCGCTCATATGTTCTCTGCGATTAGCGCTCGATTATTTTCACTGAGACATTCGCCTACTTATGGAGATGATTAGAACTGTTTAGGGCTTAGCCTGCGATTTGCTTCATATCTTAAGCTTCTTCGACTGATTACTAACATTTTAGGTCCCGGACAGACTTCACGCGATTTGATCGTCGCGACTCAATCGCCGACATTTCCATTCATTTTCATTCCACATTCAAAAATTTCGGGCTGGAAAAGTATCAAAACCGAAATGCAAGTTGATCGGCATGGAATAATGTTGTAACAGTTGTCTCGTCGCGATTCAGTCGCGACGATCAAATCGCGTGAAGTCTGCCCGGGGCCTTACAGAAAAAGATTCGATGTATGCTATCAAATTGTTAACTTTCTGGGTGTTTGACGTTGTGTCGTTTGATCAGTTGTAATCCTTTAGTGAATTTGCGTTTTTGCAGCTTTATGTAATTGGACTAATCAACTCTCTAATCTCATTATGTGTAGTGCCTGACTGTTTTATGCTCAATATGGCGTAGAAGTTAAGATCAATTGCGATTGTGGTTTTGTCAAAATTCACGGATGTGTTTGCGGTTATACGTCTCTAGCTAGCTTTGTGTTGTTTTTTTTTGCGCACGCGGATCCTATCTCCGAGTATTGATGTCTTTCTAGAAAGCATAATGAGTCATCGGAAATTTGAGTTGTCGAAACATTTAACACTATCTTTCATTGATTCATTTTCTCAACAAAAGAAGTCGAACGGTCTAGGTCTAATCGACAATCTCTGACGTCTTTCTTTTTTTGTGTCTATTACATAAAGTTTACGCTTGAGTAGATTCACTTGTTGTAATATCTTTGAACTTGTCATACTTTTGACTACAATGTTACGCTCGAGCAAGAACTCTAGTAACTTTTATTTTCGACTAATTCCTGCTCACTCTCGGAACAAGAGCTACTAGTCGTCAGAATTATCGCAATCGATGCGCTCGCTACACATGCCCACGCTCTAGTCGGCAAGCAACTTTTTTCGAGCAAATTTTGTCAATAAAGCAAGAACACTCGCCGATTTCCCCGCTTCGAATTGCTCTGATGAAACGTATAGCCGAGTAGCAGAAATGGGATTGTGTGCACTCGTACTCGTACCCGGTTGTTTACATAGCAGGTATGACACTTTTGCAATTTTTTGCAAGTAGAAAAACTTGATACTCAAGACGGAAGTAGTTTTGACAGCATTTGAGTAAAACATGCCTTACATTCATAAGGAACGCGAACGAGCCTTAATTTTTCGACTGAGCTATGTGTCCCGATTTTTCCTTCTTTTCGGATTTTATTTTTGAATTTTTTTTAGGTCATCATTCCTTGTCAACATCCTCCTCTCTCCCAACAAATACAACAATATTCTGGAATGCTATACGATGAGTCATAAATTTTCGGTTATGTAGGGTTAGTCATGGCTCTTGTGAAAACTTAGAACTGGAACTGCCTCGGTAAATCAAACGACCCAGTCCGACTGGAGCTTGTTCAGTAAGACAAGTGGTTTCAAAGCTCCCTGCTTTGTCTCTTCATTTCACCATTGTGCTGCCCTGTAGTTCTGAATCTACTTTGTGAAACTTTTCTAATATGCCTTAAAATTTTGCTCATAACTCTTCTTGGCTTTGTTCAAAAACGATACAGGTGCGTGGGTTAGTTACTTTCTGATAGTTCTCTGATTTTATGTTCATGATATCTTTCGATCTGTGCTTGTATCCATGTTGCTCCTGGTCCTCTCAGAGCATGTGACTGAGCAAATCTACTTTCTTTATCTTTCGTCATCGTAATTGACCCACTTTGATTAATTTATTCAAAGCTTATCTTTCATTTTCTGTTAGAGCCTGAACACTTATCTTTGTTTCATCTTTTCTTCGAGTTGCCTCGTTTTTCATGTCAAAGCCATTTATCCACTATGGAACTTGCTTATAGCAACACTAGCTGGCTTACCCGGCTCCGCCGTATCCGGACCAAACTTGGCACACATACACTTCGGGCCCCGGCGCGTGTCACAGTCCACTTTTCGTTATCGATCGATGTCGATTTTACCGATTTTTATCGATTTTTTCGCAGAGTTCACCTACAGGGCTAGGAGTTGGCACAGGGGGGGAAGTGAGCATGGGGATTCCGAATACAATATTAGTTTTCAGAATTATCGGTTACTTTTATTGATTTTATCGATTTTTTGTAAATTTTGACATGCGAGGCTGGGATTTTGCACAGGGGGGTAATCGAGCATGCTGATTACGAACACAATATTAGTTTTCAGGATCGTCCATTACTTTAATCGATTTTACCGATTTTTTTGTAAAGTTTGACCTGCGGGGCTGGGAGTTTGCACAGGGGGGTAATCGAGCATGCAGATTACGAATACAATATTAGTTTTTGGAATTATCCATTACTTCTATCGATTTTATCGATTTTGCAAAATTTGAGCTAGGGGGCTGGAATTTGACACAGGGGGTAATCGAGCATGCTGATCACCCCCTTGGGGATGATCAGCATGCTCGATTACCCCCCTGTGCCAACTCCCAGCCCCCTAGCTCAAACTTTGCAAAAAATCGATAAAATCGATAAAAGTAATCGATAATCCCGAAAACCAATATTGTATTCGGAATCCCCATGCTCGATTACCCCACTGTGCCAACTCCCAGCCCCGTAGCTCAAACTTTGCAAAAAAATCGATAAAATCGATAAAAGTAATCGATAATCCTGAAAACCAATATTGTATTCGGAATCCCCATGCTCGATTACCCCCCTGTGCCAACTCCCAGCCCCGTAGCTCAAACTTTGCAAAAAAATCGATAAAATCGATAAAAGTAATCGATAATCCTGAAAACCAATATTGTATTCGGAATCCCCATGCTCGATTACCCCCTGTGCCAACTCCCAGCCCCGTAGGTGAACTCAGCAAAAAAATCGATAAAAATCGATAAAATCGATATCGATCGATGACGAAAAGTAGCCTATGACACCCGCCGGGGCCCGTAGTGTATGTGTGCCAAGTTTGGTCCGGATCGGTTCAGAAATGGAATTTTCTATTCGGAACATACGTACATACATACATACATACAGACAGACATACAGACAGACATACAAACAGACATTCAGCTTTATATATAAGATTTGATCGTTGTTTTTTGAGACCCTTTTATGGTATTGGTGGTGTCAAACGTGAGGATTTCACAACTTGGTTTACTGACTACATCCTTACCATGCTTGCAAAATTTCCATTTCATCGTTCTTAGATGGGATTTTCTTGAAGCCTTTCGCATTTGCATCGAGTCAGTAACGCTACACTGTCTTCCTTCAGCACTATCTTTTGTAGCCCAGCATCTATCCAACATCTTTCTCAAATAAATACTTTGACTGGGAGCCATGAATTTAAAAGTGCTTTCAACAGCAGCTTAGGGTGAATTTTCTCCAATGTCGCATTTCCATAGTGCAATTTCGTTGGGCGTCCCATTTTTTTCTTCTCGCACAGCCACTCTATTTCTTTCCTTAACTCAAAGGCTCTTGTTTGCCATGCATGTTCGCTGGCAACAGTGCACTCATGTATTCAGCCAGAAAAGCTCTCGGCTCTTTACATGTCATTCTATCGGCTCGTTGAGGGCTTTTGAGTGACGCGACGAGCCGTGGACCAGTTTCGGCACGCGGTCAATACTTCTTTCCATGCATGAGCGCAGCAGCGCAGCGAAGGGACGCGAGAAGAGCATACGGCCAGATTTGAAGTAAATCAAGGGGCTTTTTTCCGCCTTCATTAGAAATTTTTATGGGGAGCGAGTGCCAGATTCTTTGAACAAATGATATATGTGGGCGGTAATCATTGACGCGTTCTAGGCTTGTACAAAAAAGCGAAATGGTGACTAATTTTCCGTTCGACGAGGAGTGCAACATCCGAATGTTGAACTTAAACCTGGTCAAAGCCTTTGCTATTTCGTTAAAGTAGCGTTTGTGTGAAATGATACATCCTGCTAACAGTCAGAATTTTCCCAACAATCAATTGATTGATCTCCATCTGCTTGCCTATCCAATATTTATGTTTATGTTCTATGGTATGTTCTCTCTCTGAACCTATTGTTACGAGCGGCAACATGATGTTCGCAGATGTGCATTTGTGAATGTGCGCTGGTGGATACGAACCGCAGAAATAATGTTGAGGTTTTAACTTTGAGCTATCTTGTGTCCATTCTCAACTTGCAATTTTGCGCTGGATAGCAATCTTATGTTTGAACGTTTCGATTTTCTGTACATTGCAAGGTCTCTTAACTGCTGAACTTCATAAACATTATGGTGTATTTCATATAATTGCTTCTGATTTTCCCTATCTTTCGATTAGAAAATCGCTAATCTTGGGTTCTTCATTACAAGATTGTTCTGCCGTTCTGCATTTCGGTTATTCTGTTTCGATTCGTCTCGTGAGCATTATAGAATAGCAGGCTTGATCCTTTCGAAACGCATCAACATATGCGGATGAGATGTCAACAGCGGTAGTAAACTTCAAGGCGGTAAGCGTTTGTCTTATTCGGTTACTAACTTTTTTTGCAATTCTTCGAATCGTCTTTTCGGGACACTTCTTGTACTGCAGCATGATCTTTTAGAATGCTTCGGGAGGCGATGATCGGGGTGAGCCCCAACAGACCGGTGAGAAACAGAAGCTCGGTCATCGCCGGATCGATGAGCAAGGAGAGGTAAGCCATCATCAATTCATATCTTCCATAATACTTTTTTTTACAATTTTTTGATTGAATCTGATGTCGATAGTGTTCGCGAGTTTTACGTGTTGTTTGGATATGCTTAAACAGTGAACTTTCCAATTTTTCTGAGCAATTTCCTCCCGTTGCTGAATAGATAATACCATAGAGGACCACTTCCTACTAATTGCTAACGATTGACTACTATGCGTGTTTCTACTTCCTCGCCTATGTTTTGATATAATTCTTGTCTGTTATAAGCAGTAATGAGGGAGTTAAGCATAGGCGATCCATTTACCTCCAATATATTCGAGTTTCAAGAAATTACAGTTCATAGTTGACTTTTCCGCTTATGAACTTTCTGGTAGTTTAGGTCAGCTACAAAAAGGTGCCGACCAATGCGTTGATGAGCGCAATCCAGTTGGGGATAGCCAACTCCATCGGTAGTCTAGCCTCGAGACCTTCCCGAGATTTGCTTGTACAGGATTTTCAAAAAATCGAAAGCGTAGCATTTCCAGCGTGAGTACTAATTTATTGATTTTCCTTTAATACTTATCGCAAAAATTCAAAAAAGAAAAACGACAAGTATGTAGTCATTTTTTTGCATTTTTTCTTTGAATTTTTGGTTTGATCAGCTTCGTAAACATCTAACAGTGAAAGGTATTTGCAGTTTGCTCTTTCTTTACACGTTGAAGGCATTTTTTTTATTGTCCAATTTCGTTTAATCATTCCGAGTTTTCGAGTGTGTTACAGTCTACGTCAAAAGTATCAGTGTTTATTGGGATTTATGCAGGTTTTTCCGCCAAGTTTCGCATACTTTTCGGTTAATTGCATCATTAATAACCGACCGATGGTCATTATACATGGTGCACGATTTGAATTTAGCAGCTGAAGAACTTTGACAATTTTGCATGTTCTAACCATCGCTCATCACCCTTTAGAAAGGCCATACTTATTGTATGAAAAAAAGAGTTTACGGGAAGCATATCTCAAATCTGTTTCAAGGCGCATCTGTCAACATCACACTTCTATTTTTTTGGCAATAACTAAGTTTGAAGATTTGTTTTCTTTGTTTAATGAAGGAGTTTACATCACAATCTTGCATTTTCTGAGCCTGTGCTCAGTCTACCCTTTCATCTGCGGTAGCTGTCAAATTTCGATATCCCTCACAAAAGTGAATCCTTTTTGCATTCTGACCTTTTTGTCTCTTTTCGTTTTCTTTAAAAGCCATTGTTGTGTGGTTATCTGTCAAATGCTGTTTCCTGAATGGCAGGTATCTTTTTTAGGGCAGGTTCTGCGACGACACCATCGCATTCGTTTGGTGATTTCCGTTTCAAAACCTACGCGCCTATTGCGTTTCGTTATTTTAGAGAGCTATTCAATATAAAACCTGCCGATTTCTTGGTAAGTTTCTTAGAACCCATGCGGTCATGAAAACTCATGCATCGCTTGAAAGTCCTGCAAGATCAGCTTCTTGCAGAGATCTACATGTACGGAACCGTTGCGAGAATTGTCGAACGCTGGTGCCTCAGGATCGATTTTTTATGTTTCACAAGATGATCAGTTTATTATAAAAACCGTACAACACAAAGAAGCGGATTTTCTACAGAACTTGTTACCCGGGTATTATATGGTAAGGTTCATTAACGCTTCACTGATCTTCTTTGTGGTGTAAAGTTATGATTCTATATTGGTAACTGATTCGTTACGCTATTTACAGAATCTCCAACAAAATCCAAAGACGTTATTGCCGAAGTTTTTTGGATTATTTTGTTACCAGGTAAAATCTCACTGTACTTATTGGTCTTTGTTATTATTTACACATTTGAAATACATTCAGAGTTTGGGTAAGAATATTCGTTTGTTAGTGATGAACAATTTACTGCCCCAAAATGTAACGATGCATGAGAAATATGATCTCAAGGGATCCACTTACAAGCGATTAGCTTCGAAAATGGAAAGGGCAAAGGTACAGCATTTTTAGAGGACTTGTTAGTTTTACTTCCTTACTGATAGTGGATTTCAGGCCTCCCCTACTCTGAAGGACTTAGATTTTCTCGAAAATCATCCACATGAAGGCCTCATAATGGATCCAGTCTCGTATGATAGTTTATTGCGAACGATAAGCCGCGATTGCCTTGTCAGTGATTTTTGAGCTTCTTCCGTCAAGCAATCATGGAGCTTTTAGGTTTTGGAAGCTTTCAAAATCATGGACTATTCGTTATTAGTTGGTATACACAATGTTGAGTTGACACCAGGTGGTCGAAATCAGGCGTCACGGCAAGACAGCGAAGACGACATGGAACAAGTTGATGATTTACCCAGTACTAGTCGAGGAGAAGGGGAGCCACGGAAAAAGGTTAGATTTCGCTGGCAATCAGTTCAAGGTTTTTCTTTCGTAAAAAAGACAAAGTTTTATAGCCACTGCAAACCAAATTTTCTGTATGGGATCAATCCGAGTTTGAAGCTTCTGTTCCGCCAGGAGGGGTTCCGGCGAGGAATTCTAACGGCGATAGATTGATTTTATTCTTAGGTGAGCAATCCTATAATTATAGACACAGTACTTTCTTCATTTCATGTGTGCCCATTAGGAACTAATATATCCCGATGACATATGTATGTGTCTTGCAGGAATAATCGACATTCTTCAAAATTATCGATTATTGAAGAAGATGGAGCATACATGGAAGGCTATCTTGCATGATGGGGTTGGTCATTTTAGCATGCTTCTACAGATTTAAAAGCTGTGCTTTTACAGTTTCCCCACATACATTCGTCTTTTCTGTATATCTTTGCCATGTTTTTTTATGTTTCAGAGATTTGTTGGATCTTTCGTTTTACTAATTATATTTTAGGACTCCATTTCTGTCCACAACCCCAGCTTCTATGCTCAACGTTTCTTATCCTTCATGACCGAACATGTATTTAAGAAAGGACCAGGTAACATTTTCTAAAGCATGTTGAATATGATGAGCCTTGTTAGACCTTTATGCAGTTTAGTTATCTTTCAGCTTTTAGTTTATTACATTGCTTGCAAAGAAATGTGAAAGCCTGATAGTGCTTTCATCTTTGGATGGCATTCTGTCATCGTTTTAATTATTTTAAACATTTCAATTTTCGCTTTTATGTGTCAGTTTCTAAATGTATCAAATCAAGTTGATGGTTTTCTCGTGATTACGTATCAAGTTCTATCGCATTTATACTATCGTGTGTTTCGTTACAGCCGACGCGCGCAGGGCGAACGGCAAGTTCCGTACTCTGGTTCACTCCTATCTCGGTATATATGAACTTTTGAATGTTGTCGCAAAGTGGAAGAACTTGGGTGGAAGTTCCGAGTTCCTTCACTTCATTAGAATGTTGTTATGTTGTAGTTTTACAAATTGACGGCTTTTATTTGGAATTTTGATATCTCCCCTTTGCTTTATTTCATCAAAACCATGCCAAAGTCGACGTAACTGCGGTTTTTGATTCTTTACGTCCTTGCAACGTTCTGAAACATAGGAAACAATTAGAATAGAAGTAGTGGCATGGCATGTCATCTGGACCAAGAGACTAAGTTTTTTTGTCTATCGATAAGTTTGCTTGCTGATCAATTTTTTTGGCGGTATCGTGAGGATATGGGTTGTGATGGTGGTTTTTTCTCATCTTATTATCGGTTTGTCACGTGTGGTATCGTTTTGCAAGTCTTTCTTGGAGTATAATTGCACTCCTAAGATTTTGGTGTTAGATTGAATTTGTGCGGAAAGGAACTTGCACTTGTTTTTGATGAGCTAGTTACCTTGGCTTTTTAGTTTATTTCTTATGATGCCGAAAATTTTCGTCGCTAACAAGACGGTGGTTCGACAGTTGCCACTGCCGGCTTTTCACCATCACATGGCCTTCTGGATTGAGTACGGGACTGTGCTTGAAAAGACAGAAAAGTGCTTTTCTGGCGTTTTCCGACTTTGGAGTTTGCTAAAGGGGCTGGGCGAGCGATTACCGCCAAAACAGCGACTTGTTGCAGGAGACTCTAACTCCACCCATTTCGGCGGCAGTTGACTGATGGGCTCATGCAGCCAAATCAACTCAGTCGCGATCGCTCGCCCACCTCTCCAGCAATCTTCAAGAGCGGAAAACGCCAGGAAAAACACTTTTTTGACTTTCCAAGCACAGCCCTTTCAGCGCATCTAGAAGGCCAAGAAGGGGTGGAAAGCTCGCGATTGCAACTTTCCCGAGCCTCTGCCTTCAAAGACAAGTTATCGGATTTAGTATATTTAATCTCTATGTATTTAATTGGACAAAAATTTTTCAACGGTTTATTGCAATGATTATCTTTCGTAAGCCGTTTATTATCTGACTAATTCGATTAGGTGAATATCTTTGTTGAGTTTTTCGGATGTAATGATAGCAGACAAACAAATACTACGTTACGACGTTATACCTTTTCTCATCAGCTTGCGCTTGAATGCTCCACGAAAGACTTTGCCGCTTCGGTAACTGCGGTTGCGCAAGAAGTATCATAAGCCTACTTCTTGCGCAATTTAGTCCATATTTTAATTCGGTAGATAGGTGTTCCTTACTTTACATGCATTTTTTCTTCTTTCAGCTTTAAAACAGTCACCATCGCGGCGTCGTCCGCGGAAAAGCGTTGGAGACGAAGATGCGCCTATTTCTACTCGTGATATCAATCCGGTAATTAGTACAAGTGTTCCTCGTCCATCAGTGCGGACAGCATATCGAAACAACTCGGAGAAGAAGGAGAAAAAGGTTAGTTCTCATTTTAATTTATTTATTTTTTGCTTTTGATCATCCCATCAGCTGTATTTTGTCAGATCATTTGTGTAATCTGCTTTTGTTCATTCTCCGATTGTTTTTGAATCATAAGCGGTATTAGATCATTTGTCTGCCTCAAAGGCGGTGAGACAAGTGCAGCACCTTGCATGCTTCATTTTTTCCTGAGTAAAAACACTACACTTTATCCAACCGATTTTTTCCTCTGGTTTTCGGCAGAATTGTGATTGGGCCAAAATTTGGACTTGAATTTTTTGATGTATCATATGAGCCGGTGCTCGAGAAATGGCTTAGTTGGTTACTTTAGTTTGTAAAGAGCCCAGTTACTCAGATCTTTCTTTTTTTCTATTAAACTAGTTTTTATAGCCGGAACGACTGTTTGCAAGCTCAAATCGAACAGACGAGCAAGAGGTGCTTCAAGAGGAAGAAGACGAGTTTGTGAGTAAACCAATGCCTGGCCAACTGTAAATAACGCTGCATATAATACCCGTATCTGATCGCTATTGCGCGCAAATCTCATCTTTTCCTTCCTAAAAACACTGCAGATCTGAGAGCGGACGAGTTGTTCGCTGCTTGCCGTTGTTGTTACACATACCGATTCAAAAGCATGCAAAAGTGTTGTGACTTCGAATTTAACACATGTTGCGTGTGTTGATGGCTTCCGTTATTATTGTGTGCGTTGTTGGTGAAGGTGGTGGTGAGCTTCGTGGCGGGAAGTACGCGACAACTCGTACAAGCATGAACACACGGATGTGATTTTGCACGAGTTTTGGCGTTATTCTTCAAAGAATTTCTGAATGTGGTGTGGGTTTCTGTACTGAGAACTACTGTAACGTCTGTCCAGGAGTGGGACCTCAGATCGTACTTCTAGGAAACTCACTAGCACAGCTCACACTTTTTGTACGCACATCGCTACCTCTTTGCAGTTCTCAAGTGATGTGAAGTCCATGACTCCTAACTTTGAACCTCTTCCGCTGTAACCATGACAGATCTAACAAAGCAGTGTTTCTCATACAGAAAGACATGTACTACATTCTCAAAAGCATCTGGTCATGAGTTGGTGGTGGTGAGCTGGCAGTGTGTGTTCAGATCTTTGTCGAGCGCGAACCGTCGATGACGATATCGCCAGAGCTTCTCGATGAAATCCCCTTCATAGATGAACAGCTACAAGAACAAGAACAAGAACAACGATAAAGAACGCCACATACGGGAAACGAGAGAGTGCGCAACAACAACAGCAGCAGAAACAGCGCACATTCGTAACAAGATGTCTTGCGTAGTGTGCTTCTGCTTTGCCTTCACCACCTAGTGTTTTATTTAATCTGCATGTTTAAGTTCACTTCATTGATTATGGGTCGTACAGATCTTTTAGCAGCACTCATTATCTATTAGAAAAGAAAAGTTGAATTTTTTGTATTTGAAAACTCGCAATAGATTATACACCAAACTTACCCGTTATGACTTTCGAGCCGGATTTTGGGAGTTTCTTTCAATTATGGAAGCTGATAAGTGCCAAAGTATAGGCGGGTCAGTGTACGCAGAGAAAGGACATCGTTGCACACGAGTACGGCAGTTCCTTTGAAAAAGGGAGCAGACGATTAGGCAACGTCCAGATTATTCGTGCGCCGGCGATATACCGTCGCCGTTCCGGCGTCGTGCCAGGACTCACATGGAGTCGTACGGATCGATCGATACTCCGGCGCGGAGCTGGCACGACACTGAAACGGCGCTGGCACGAGAAACTTTGGACCAGCCCTAGAGTGCTGCAAGTGCATTTAATTTGAGAAACACGTGCAACGTTCGCAGTGGCACCCCATCTCTGCATGCGACCATTCGCCTATGCTATGCAATCCCGATTGGTCCCAATGGTCAAATATAGCAAACGGTTTGGGTGCTTGCCAGAGCTTCTATATTAGTACTAGAATTCTCTATCTGTCATAATCATCTAAATTGCTGCTCGTGAGCATATTATAGTGCTGGCAAATGTCCAAGTCATTTGCCCTTGCTAGCCAACACGCGTAGATTACAGTGGAAGCGTGTTTTCTATACAGTCGAGTGAACGCGCCACGCACTATTTTTTGATAGGTGATGGACCGAGAAATTGAATCGAGTTATTCTGGTGCTTGCAGGAGTAATGAGAACTTCTCATGATAATTATCAAGGCCTTACCATCCGTTTAGGAATAAAATCGAAGTGCACTATGAGATAGCCATATATAATGCACTAAAACTTCTCAGAATTGATACATATATATACAAAGTTGCTATCTTTCCATACTGAAGGTGACCAAAACCCGGCTCTAAATTTTCTGGGGCATTTTTTCTCATTTTTGCTGCTGCACTTGCATGCATCTTATCACTTTTGTATGTTCTTTGTATGGCTGTCAATAATTTAGTGCCACACTGCCTTGCTGAATCGATCGTTAACGGGTCAATGCTTTTGTATTAGATCGCTTTCACTACACATGATCTGAATTGCCATGGGCAAACATTGTTGCAGATTTATGGCTATCCTTGCTGCTTTCTGCAATTGCGTACAAAGTCATAGTTTGCTACGTTTGCCCATTGCAAATCAGCGCATGCGTTGTGTCCTGCGTGTACGTGTGTAGGTTGTAGTTTGACGTGTCGTTACTTGTTCAGACACGTCTCTAACGAAGCATTGGAGAGCGAGTCTAACCGCGCGCGAAGTGATGGCCTGCGTGGCGTGTTCTGTCGACGAGCTTTGCATGAATACCGTAATCCGAGTGTGTGTGGACTACGGTAGCCATGCGACGTCAGCCAACCCAACCAAATGCATGTGTGGCACCTGCATATTGCCCAATATCCAGCAGTTCGTCCGCCATTCCTCGTCTCACGTCTCACTCTAATCTTCTCGCTCGAATGTCTCAGCACAATTGCTTTCTTTTTTTTTCTTATTTTTGTGTCCTCTAAAGTTGATCTGCTCCGCTACTAGCCGAATGTTGCAGTGATTCGTGCGCACTTAACTGTTTTATATTATCGATTGTAATGTTGAATTGTACTTGTTATCTTGTAGTAAGGCTACTATCGTCTCTCGCAACGCTTTCACATCACGTAGATTTCCCTTTATCCAATTTCAATGATCCGGTTACATTTGCTTGTAAGTAACGTACAACGTACGTCAAAGTACACTACCTAGGGTCGAATATTCCGTTGATTACACGTTTGATTGACCATAAAGTTAACTATATGATAATTCGTGCAACCGAAAATATTTTTACTCATGCTTTCAACAGTATCGTAGCCCCCCCCCCACCAATCATGGCGTTTTTCGGTCATCCAACAGCACTTCCTCTACTTTTTTCTGCACACACAGTCAGCTGATTTTTATCTATCTTATATGATGTTACTCGGTTGTGTAGGTGTTGATTTGCAAGATGCTCGTTTTTTTTAATTTATTGACTATTTATTACCGTGGTTCTAGACGTGTGTAGCATCAGAAGTTATAATGTGGCAATGTTCTCATCGTTTACAAATGACGCGTTCTGCATTCCTTGATGAGATGAATGTTTTTTCTTTGCAATGAAGAGAATGCATTACATCATTGTTTCAAGATTTCAAAGTACGTATGACTAACAATTATTACGCAATTTTCTAAGTGAAAAGCGGTTTCTCCGTCTCATTTGAAGTAGGCCGGCTCGAGCGGCTTGGGTCCCTATTTTACCGTGATCTTACAGAACTGAAGAGTAGTAGGCAATCCGTTTTGTATGTAAATCTAAAATCTAATCTATGTAAATCTATACGTTATGGGGCGAGTGCTTATTTTGGCACCTTTGACAATATTTTTTGTTCTTGCGAAGTTTTGCACAAATCGACCATTTAAGCGCAAGTAAAAAGTGTCCTAAAAAACTTATCGCTTGATCATGAATTTGCTGATGACTCACTTGCCTGAACAGCCTTCGCGGACTATAATTACCATATGTATGGCTGATTTTAGCTTAGATTTACATACAAAACGGATTGCCTACTACTCTTCAGTTCTGTAAGATCACGGTAAAATATAGAAGAGTTACGCCTATACAAATACTACTTCCAAAATGTCCGAAAAAAAATTGGAAACTTTGCATTCAGGTCCACAAGCATTGCTAAATCCATACACGAGCTTTTCGCTCAACTGTAAACTACAGGGTGTCCCAAAAAAATGTCTACTGTTTGACTGTTAATAACTCCTTTGTAATGAAGTCCTCTAAGAAGTTTCAGGTACCATTTTGTAGAACTAGCTTCAGCCAGCATAGAGCGAATCACCAATCACTCTTTATTACTGCAGGATTACAAACGACAGAAACTTCAAAGAGGATTTTGAGCCATGAAAGGTCATATTTTGCCTTAGAAAGGAAACAAAACAGCCTGAAAACTTTCACACTGGGCTGGTTGAAGTTGCTGATTCTAGAAGTGAAATTCGCAACTTATAATGCTTCATTAAAAAGTTATGCAAAGTAAGCGGTTGCGGCCGTTTTTTCAAAGTCCCCAAAAAATGCGGTTACACCGGAAAGCTTCGCAATCTTGTACATAGGTGAGTATTGATCTCAGCGTCCACGAAAACCCTGTTACACAAGTTTCCACCTTTTTTTTGAAAATTTTTGAAACGGCAACTTTTTTCACAATGACACCACGTACTTGAAGTTTCTACCGTGATCCTACAGTAATGAAGAGTAACTGACAATTCGCTCCATACTGTAAATCTAAGTTGAAGCCAGCTCTACAAAACGGTACTCTAAGCTCCTCGAAAGACTGTATTATAAGAGAGTTACTAACAATCAAACAGTAGACACATTTTTTTGGGACGCCCTATATAATCAAACCAGTCCAAAGCGCCGCTTCGCGGCGCTTTGGACTGGCTGTATGTGTGAAGTGGGATATGTTTGAATTTGAGACTATCAGATCAGAGTTTGGCACCATTCCCCCTAACCTAAAGCGGTCCTACGCAACTACTCTAGAGAATCATTGACACTGTTTCTTAAACGTAAAGGATCATATCATGCGTGGAAAATGCTCCTTTACGGGACTTTGAATTAGGGCCTTCTTGTAGTTCTGCTATAAATTGCGCCTAAGTGATAGACTCTGAACATCTGCCGAAACATCATCTGTCTCGCTGATTACATATATATACAGGTATCGCGAGCGTCTGGCCTCCTTGTCTTAGTATCGGTAGCGAATCGGTGGTTACGGCTGCTGAGACAGCGTGGTTAGCAAGATAAGTAATAGTCTGTTTCCAGCACACAAACCAAAAAGAAACTCGCCGTTTGACAAAATTAAGCTTGAAAAGCTCCATCCCACATGTTGCCAAAGATACCCCAGAGGTCATCATCCCACATGCTAGCAAAATCATCACAGAGGCCATAACTATAGTGGCATAAATCTTCCTGCTTCATACAAATTTATCCTCCCACCTCTACAAAATGCTTAATTTTTCATGAAGAACTTGCATTTTGCATACGCCTGAGTTTTTTGAAAGTGTTCCCAAACTTTTCACTCAAAAATCCTGAAAAATTCTTTTTTTTCTTGCAGATCCTCAATAATTTTCCGTGCCGTTTAGGTCTACTTCGATCTCTCATGAGTTCATCTTGCTCGAAGCTGCCCTTCCACTTGTATGTTGATCTGCCAAAGTTTCTCTCCGATTTTTTTGCAAGATACTCTATACTTGAAAAACTATCTCCACCCAGGTTGTTCATATTGCTCCCCCGGAATGCCCTCCGAGCTTCACTGTCCCGATTTTTGCAACTACTCTTTTCCTCAAATTTGAAGCAGCAAGGGAATTCAACTTATCCACTTGAAAGGTTCTAGTGTAGATTCAGACTTTCAGATTCAACAATTTTGAGTGGTAATCACATCCTTTCTTCCTTTGCTGGGAACTTTTGAAATGCGTGCACAATTCAGTTAATATAGTGTTCCTTGATCCAGACAAAATTGTATGCAGTGACAATGAATATCAATCGTAGGATTTTCAGTTTCAAAAAATCCGAAATTCTGAGGTGGAGCTCTGATGAATCCACGCTTTCCTAGCTAAGGAGCTTTTTGCATCCAATTTTTAGGAGCTCGAGGACATCACCACGCTGATATCCTTTCAAAAAGGTGTTGTTTTTTTTATAATTTGAGTGGTGACATTAGGAAAGCTTCCACTGATGTTCAATGAATGAAATTATTGGTGTGCGGAAAGTAATACGAAAAGCATAGCGTCTTGAAAAGTGATCGTACGTGCTCCCGATATTCATGACTCTGCAGCAGCATTAGCTATATTTACTGTCATTACACTGCAGATTGTACTGTAAAATGAACAGTGGAATGTTCGTTCAAAAGAAAGACGCTTTTTCATTTCATTCATGCAACCAAAGCGAAGGTGAAAGTTTTTTTTTTATGAAAGAACTCTTTAGAGACTGATATAGCCATACCGGAACTGGGTTGGCCCCAAAAAACCTACGTCATCAACAGACTTTGATTTTCAAGAGGGAAGGAGATCTATTCCTCTTTACTTCTTCAGGGGCTGTGACTTCTTAAAGCATTGTATCTGAGGGCATCGGATACATATGACATAATGGTCGCTAAGTATGGATAGCATGAGTTCACTGGTTTATAATTCTATAGATAATTTTACTACTTTGATTTTCGAAAATCCTAATGACTATTCCATTTGATCAGTTTTGTTGGTGATAGGTAATTTAAGTATAATTCGATAGATGATTTTACTACTTTGATTTTCGAAATTCCTAATGACTATTCCATTTGATCAGTTTTGTTGGTGATAGGTAATTTAAGTAATAAGGCATAGTTGCTCTATATCTTTCTTCTAAAAATAGCGGCTCTGAAGAAGCTATACAAAAGGTTGTAATTGTTCGAAGAGTATGGATTGAAGCATACGGCGAAAAAACTTTACACATGGTGAATGCAACACTGAGAATCATTTTGTTTAAGTAATAAGGCATAGTTGCTCTATTTCTTTCTTCTAAAAATAACGGCTCTGAAGAAGCTATACAAAAGGTTGTAATTGTTCGAAGAGTATGGATTGAAGCATACGGCGAAAAAACTTCACACATGGTGAATGCAACACTGAGAATCATTTTGCAAATGGGAGTTCAAAGCGATAGCTTAATAAGGTTAAAGAGAGCAGAAAAGAGGCTCAAAAGTTCAGCTGAAGTGTCCAGAGATTTTTTTATGAAAAGGATTTTTTGCACAAATTTGGCTCATGAAGCAAGGATCAAAACACGACTATAGCACTCAAAACCTTAGCCACCCATACATTTAAAGATGTTATTCTGAAGGCAAAATTAAGGCGGCTATGGCACTCAGAATTTAGGCATATATTTGCTGAAATGAATGTTATTTTGAAAGCGAGATTACAGGGAATGGTGCGTGTCAATGACAGAGCAACTGGAAAAAGTGTCAAATCGGTAGAAGATACTAACAAATTTGAGATCGAGTGTGTCGATGGATTGGAAGCCTAAGTGGAGTATGTGAAGAGAGACTATTCATTCAACATGTATTCTAGACTGTACTTTTGTACTCACAACCATCATACCGTCTCTAGAAGCTTTTAAGAGTAGTTGTTTACGCATGGATCGTCTGGTAAATGTCAAGGATCACTGATTGATCGTTCTCTGAATCCAACATTCCAAGGATCACTTGGTCGTTCGTTGGATCCGACATACACACTTGTTTACGCCGACAAACGCGCTGAGTCATATGGGGGTGCTTGCGCTTTATATAGAGTAGGATATAATAAAGCGCATTGGTCATTCTGTAACACCCCCCCCCCCCGCGGAGGGAGACTGTGGACGTAAACAAGTTTGTCGGTTTGCGCCCTTGCAGGCGTACCGAGCTGATGACTCATCATGCAGATGCCTGTCTTAAATGATGTTGATCAACAGCCAAAACTAACAGAGTGCAATCATCAAGTAGCTGAACCCAGTCGGTGGTAACATCGATTAAAACCGCCTGCAAAAGAAATTTGGGGTTTGCTCACAAATATCAGAGATCACGAGTTTGGACGAGATTTAGCAGAAAAACTTCGATATTGAAGAATTTGTCAGTAAGAGTGAATCCGGAGCGTTTTTCTTCGAAGAAAAAAAAGATCGAGGAAACTTTTCTTGACGGTTTTGGTTAGCGCCATGGGCTGCGTATGCATGCATTTTTGAAATGTATTCGACCTGAAACTTCAAGGATAAGGTAAAGGTAGGTATTGTGGTATGATTTTCGCAAATTCCGAAGAAGAGAAGGGTTATAGAGGACTGTGGGCACTCTACTGAAGTTTTTCTAAGAAAAGGGTAAGCACTTCAAATATGGCTTTCAGAATAAGAAAGAGGTGTTGAGAAGAGATAAGATAAGGATTCAATCTGTCAAAACTAACGATAATGAATCCTTAAGCATTTTTCTGAGAGAAGCTTGAGGCCAGCAGAATGTTTCTATGTGTTTGAAAACCATATGGGAGAAACAAGTGACAAAATAAGAAAAGTTGGAGAGTCAGGTCACCTCACCTTTTGAGGATATCTTTGATCGAAGAACACTCAAAAATTGTGGGCACTTTATTAGGAAAGCCTTTCGAAATGAAAAGACAGTTTTGCTTAATAAGCTTCGAGAGTAGGGAACGAAGGTGGGGGAACGGAAGGGGGGACTTTACGTGCAATCTGGCAAGGAACTCTCTATTTCCCTTCAGGTTTGGTTCGCTGAAAACTATCCTTTTGATTTGATTCATGCCAGCTGCGCATAGGTTCTGCCTTTCAGACACTACAACTCAAAAGCAGTTGCTTGGCAGAATGACAACCTTGGGATATTCGTCGTTCTTGGCACCCCTGGAAGAGCTGAGTCTTAATCTGTGCTTTGCAGCTTTTAAAGATATCAATAGCTTGCTTTTTCGGACGTGGAAATTGTTTTTGGGCGGATAGCGAAAACTCGTCCGTTCGTAGAACGATTGGCTAGTGGAACCATAATCTAATTACCGTCAAGATGGGTACGATGTCTCTACCCAACCAGGCTATACAAGCCAATCGCTTCCTAGAGGACGGCCTTTCGTCTTCCACCCTCCTTTTTTTACGTCTGGAAAAGCGAGTTATTGATATGTTTTGAAGCTGCAAAGCACATTTTGGAGTTCGCCCATCCAGGAGAACCGAGAACGACGAATACAAGTCGCCGATCTGTTGAGCGGCTGCCTTTAACGTCACCAACTGCCCGACAGCAAGCACTGACAAAACCAAATCCTACGTCATTCTTGCGGCTTTACACATCGTCTCACAATTTCGATAAGCGAAATTATTACGGTCCTAAGAGGTCGTACACGCTATGAGCAACAAACATGTAAAACTCATTTAGGCTTCACTTGATGGAGTTCCCACGATCAGCAAGCATCTGTGAGACATAACGTATGGCGGAGAAATAATCGCAAAACTTTAACGCACATCCCACTCCACACACGGCCAGACCAAAGTGCCGCGAAGCGGCACTTTGGTCTGGTAATCAAATACGAAGGATATACGGCGACAGCTCTTTTCCCTGCAACTGTAAAAACCTGAATATCAGAGAAGTACTTACTCACTAGAAGCCAAAATCACCATAGACATGGTTTGAAAAATTTCGAAAATCCCATCTGATTTGCAACCATGAGTCTGCGTTAAAGCTAGTCCCATATGTTAACCAAATCGCGAAAGCTGTTCAAATAAGGGAGCTGAAGGAAGCGGGTCCCGGCAAAGCGATAGGTACTGAAATATTACTATGTTGCAATGGTGGACACCCCAACTAACTTATCATGGCAGTCTGGAGCAAAAACGTGCGTCTGCAAACCCTGAAATCCACTCCGGAAGTCTTCCGGACCCCACCCACTTACACTCACTTTTCGGCGTGAGTCTGTATAAAGAGTGCAAAGACCATTTCTGCCATTTTCATGCACTGAAAAGCCCAGATATAGTCTCAGCATGGTGAGAAGGTTCCGAAGAGATGAAAAAGTGGAAAGCAAATTGCTGTCGGGACACTGCCTTTAATACCAATCGAACGTTCGTACATTTTTTGGGACACTTTGTACATGAGCAGCAAAAGAAAACTAACGACCATCGACCGTCAAAACTAGAACTTCAAGTATAAGTACGAAATTCTGATAAAACTCATGGTAAGGCATCGATTGTTGTTCACCATCGTCATGTTGAAAAAAATGCGGGTGACTAACTCCGATTCAACTATTATTTCGAAGGCGATGTTTATTTGAGGCGAACAAGCAACGTTGTAAATGCATGACGCATAATGGAGCGAACATTTTATTGATTCAAGAGCGTGCGAACGTTGGGGAAACTGTTTGTAAAATGACTAATGATTGCTTGAGCGTTTCATTTTTGATTTTTAATTTTTTTCCGACCTCAAAAAAACTGCAACTGTGTGGTTGCCTTATCACATGTCAATGTGGCTATTTCCCATAGAACTGGTGAACAAAAATTTACGTTCGAAGTGATATTCATTACCTTTCGGTGACGATGTTCACAAAAAAGCCCTCATCATCCATGTTCAAGAAAAAGAAGAAAAGAAATGTAGTGAAGGTCTAATCTCAAACGAAAGCCTAGCTAATATGAAGCAAGCGCATGCGAACGCGGCGAGCGCGTAGTGATCCCATGAGTGCATCGCATGCGCTCCAGCGATGATAAAGTTGATTCGTTGACCGCACGGGCTGAACATCACTGCGGAGCACGCGTCGCGAGGTTCGCTTGCCCCAGTACAAATTCGCCATTGTACAAATCGTGCTCTCTCGACAACTCAGCCGCGCCGCGCGTGGTCCGCAGCGTTTGAGCAGTCCGTGCGGTCAAGGAATCGACGATACATGCTAAGCGCCGCGTTGCGCCACCGCCTCGCAACGATGGACCGCTGGCCTCCGTCCTAAACTGGCATTTAGACGGCACCCCCTAGATGTGCTAAACTTAGGCGGCAACTCCCATGCTTCGAAACCCTAATTGTTTGCTCAGATTTTTTGGGAGAAGCAGCTGTAAGCAACTACATAACTAAGCAGCTTTGAAGTTGTAATCCCTCAGAAAAAAAGTTTATCAGTGAAAGAAGGTTAACTCTCATAGAATAAATTAGCACTTGTTCAACACTTCAACACAACAGCGACAATTGGTTTTTATGATTTATTTTTCGGAAAATAAATACAGTATCACACAAACACATATTATACATAATCAATCATACATTCGTTGTACAATCATACAAATTAGATTATATATTGAAAGATACAACAGCGAAAATCAGGTTTTTATGATTTTTTGAGTTTTTTTTGATAATTTTTTTAAACAGAAAACAATACATTAACAGTCAAATGCATTATAATAAAATCACACAGATGATATATTGCAATATTGTACAACCACACAGATAACATAGGATATTGCAAATTGTACTTGAACAATGTTCTCAGGCAAAACTACAAGGTCTCAAGTGCTGAAGCTCTTGCTTCCAATATAACACTGAATATGTAGTGTTGCTAGAGATTACAGAGTAAGTAAAATATGGAAAAAGGAATGGAGAAATTTCATGATCAAATGCTACCTCAGCATGGCGTACGTCCCCAGAAAGCCCATGGGCAGCGACCTGGTCCCCATCCATGATGATGTCCGTGACGGCGTTCGAAGTTGGGAAAGTCCCATGGTCCGTCCCAGTGTGGGCGATCGCGGAAGGAATGGCGCATGCGAGCGAATGGTCCTCCAAACGGTGGAAATGGCATTCCCCAAGGTCCGCGTGGTCCATGGGGTCCATGGTGGTCAAAGCGGGGTCCGCGCCAACTGGGCGAACGAGAGCGGCTACGGCAGTGGCCATGACTTCCAGAACGAGGAGGACCATGATGTCTGTGACCGGGATCATGCGAATGCGGACGGTTACGACTTCTGGAGCGGGATCCAGGACGGCTGTGCGGGCGCGACTCGCCGCCGGAGCAACCGCGACTTCTAGAGCGAGTGCGGCTGCGCGAGCGCCATGGGCAGCGGTCACGATTTCTGCGACGGCACATCATCGTCACGTGCTTGGTTTGGCCAGCCGGCATTGGAGCTTCTGGTTCACCGGATTCGGAGCCATCATCAGAGCAGCAGATGACGTCGTCGTCGTCGACACGTGCGAGTAGTTTCACAGTGTCGTTCCCTCTGCTTGCGTTGTATAGTTCGTCAGCGTTCGAGATTATGCTTTGGTCACCGTCAAAGTCAACGTAATAGATGCTTCCCACATTGAAGTCGAGTTCAGAGATCTTTTTCTTGAAAGCATCGTACAGGTCCTTCTTGTCCTTGTAAGTTATTGTGAATCTCGGCACAGTGTCGCGGAAAATCTTGAAGGTGACAGTTCTTTCGTCAGTAGTAGGCGGACGATTGCAAGGAGAGCACATTTTAGCTGAATGCGGTCTCCAAACGGGGATTGAGCTTATGTATGGACCAGAGAATGATCGAGATGTGTGTTTCGAAAGTCGAAAGGGGCGGAGAACGGCGGCGACGACTCATATCGGCACCGATGACTCATCGTTTTGCACTGTGGCGCAATTTTACGGCGAGTTATCGCCGTTTCGAAAATACATCTCGACCAATTCTGTGATAATATTTACGTCACTGTTGATACGGTGAAAAACTACTGGCTGTCGAAAGCACTTCGAGAACAGCGAACGTGGGAAAATTGATGCTGAAGTATGGCGAAAGGAGTTCCTTGTTCTTTTTGCTCAAAATATGGTTTTGTTGAGTCTTTTCTGGATGGCGTTTTCGAGTGTGACTAAGCAACTCTACAATAAGTAAGTAATACAAGGCTGAATTTTTTTTCAAATTTTGTAACAGAGCATTAGTCAGGTATAATTTCCAGAACTTTACACGGATAATTAAGGAACCACACTCAAGTATCGTGACTAGATCTTAGAAAAATTCCTTTTTTTATCATTAGCTTATTTATGTCGTTCTGAATACACAGAGGTAATCGGACATATTTTCACTGTAATATAAAAATAGCTTTTCATGGATTTACGAGGAAATTCAAAGGTAGCATAAAGTTGAAATTACTTACATTCTAATTAACGGGCCAAGAAATCTGCCAGTATAAAATTTCTGAAGCCTAAGTGCCAGGATGTCTCACATTTACGTATCAGTATAGCTCTTCATATTTCTTTTCTCTTCGTTTTTTTCTCTTTTCAAAATTTATTCTTTTTCGATATTTCTCAATTGTTGGCATGCGGATGATGCTGAAAATCAATTTGTTCTTATAGACACCAGATCCAGTTGCAATTGTTCTTCACTTTATGAAGCGTCACTAAGTTTTGGTGAAAATCTGGAAATAAAATCATTCTAATGTCTTGGCTCATATTTGAGAAACATTAGTAAAGCTTCGAAATGGAGTGTACACTGTAAAATCCTTAGAATTACTATTCTTGTAGGTATCTACCACGCCGCATTCAAGAATATGTCTGGTCTGTCTTAGAGAAGTTTAATTTAGTTTCAAAAGTGACCGAATGTTTTGTATTGGTCAACCTTATCTGCTACAAGCAAGGATTTCACAGCTTTTCGACATTTCTAAGTGTTTGGAATTTCTGTATGAGTGGGTCAACTTGTAGAAAAACTCTGCTTGTACGAGTTAGAGCAAGTACGCATCAAAATTTCGATGGGTTGTTTAGAGAACAAACAGTGAAAAATAAATAAATTACTAGACAGGCAAAAGAATTATCGCAGCTCGTTGACTCGGTTGCTATGGAACACTTTTCACTCGAACGGCAATGACGTGAAAGCAAATAATGCAGTACGAGATGATGTCACCCTCATGTCTCCAATGTAAGCAATTTGTTTCACACTTTACTTCATGTAATTGCCTAGAAACAGTCCTTGATGCAGTGAGAATCGAACTGATGTTAGTACAACCTTCTGAATATGGAAAGCAAATAATGCTGTGTCTTTGGCTACTAGTTTAGCTAGGCATCTCTATAAAATAACTAGATGGCTTACCCGGCTCCGCCCGACCCTGTCAATAATATATTTGTAATCAGCATGCTCGATTACCCCCTGTGCCGACTTCCAGCCCCGTAGCTCAAATTTTGCAAAAAATCGATAAAATCGATATCGCTCGATGACGAAAAGTAGCCTATGACATGCTCCCCGCCCCGAAGTTTATGTGTGCCAAGTTTGGTCCGGATCGGTTCAGAAATGGAATTTTCTATTCGGAACATGCGTACAGACATACAGACAGACAGGCAAACAGACATTCAGCTTTATATATAAGATTGGACTCAAACTTGGTTTGATGAAACGGATTTTTGAACCTTATTAATTTTGCGATTGCAGATACATGCACGCAAGAAGAGCATAACGTGGAAGAGGAACAAATAAAGTTCTGAAATGACCTGATACATCACGTCTTTTCTATCGGCTTCAAATCAGTTTTAGAAGGAATTAGCGAATAAAAATATTGATTCGAAAGCTACATCATCAAACTCCAATGATTAAAAGTGAACACATTTCTGAACTAGGAAAGGGTGGCATAACTAGATCTATATTATGGACTGGCTAGAAAATAATCCGCTTGAGCAGCGTTCAGCAACGAGATGAAAATCATTGCACAAAGTATGAGTGGCCACTGGCCAGTTGCTTTTTTTTCTCCACAGTCACGCATCCGTCGCGAAAATCTTGCGTGCCCATACGGCTTTGCTAATATGCTGCTGATCAAATCGAATTATTAATCAAAAACCATCGGAATCCTGTCTCAAATGTACGTCAGGTGAAGAGTTGGCACTGCTTCTGCATAAGGCCACATGCAAGCATAGCGGTAGGGATTTGGACTAGCACAAGCACTATTCATCATTTTTCATCATTTCCTGTATGAGAATTTTCTTTTTTGGCAAGTATGCTATTGAAGCCTTAGCTTCTTCTACGCAATCGATCTGAGGAAACTGCCAACTAGAAGGTATGCTGTTAGTGTGAGGTTAGAAGGGAAAAAAATCAAAATTGTTTTGGGTAGGCATGAAGATCCCTACGACTTAGGAATGGAACACTTACGCAGATATGTAGCTACGAATAAGAGGAAGGAAGAGAAGGGGATGAAAGGTGCGACACTTTTGTTTCAACCAAAGAGAGTACTCCCTGGTATGGTTAGTAACTATTACTCGCTACTCAACATACAGTGGTAGCCATAATTATTAGGTTGGCCGGAAATTACGTTCGCACCATTTTCAAAAATCCATAATTCTTTAAATTTTCAACGAATTTGTACGAACAAAATTTTGCTTAGGAGAGGAACTCATAGTCTTTGCAACAGTACTTGAACTGTTCGTTAATGTGTACAAATGAAGGAGATAGAAGCTCAAAACCAAAAACACTCAAAATGAATTTTTCGTGTAAGGTCATAAAAAATCGGAAACTTGCAACAAAAATCGGAGCAGTCGGTATCATAGGTTCTTTCATCAGCTCTTTCTAACTGTACAAAGTTTGCGCTGATTGAGCGTCTCTATGAAAACTTATGATTTTCGAGCAAGCAATAGTAAAGGGCGAATTTGATTTATTTTGGCATTTTTCAGGGAAATCATAACTTTTCATAGAGACGCTCAATCAGCGCAAACTTTGCACTGTTGGAAAGAGCTGGTAAAAGAACCTACAGTACCGACCATTCCGATTTTTGGTGCAAGTTTCCGATTTTTTATGACCCTACACGAAAATTCAAATTTTGAGTGATTTTGGTTTTGAGCTTCTATCTCCTTCATTTATACACATTAACGAACAGCTCAGGTACAGATGCAAAAAGCATGAGTTCCTCTCTTGAGCAAGATTTTGTTCGTGCAAATTCGTTGATTTTAAAAAATTATGAATTTTTGAAAATGGTGCGAACGAACTTTCGGGTCAACCTAATATAAAGATATTCTAGAAACTGCCGTAATTTGCGTTCTTATTGACGAATCTGTGTGGAACTTTGCAGTTCAGTGCGCATGTTAGCCTACCATGATTCCTCAAAACGGTTTCGAATCTTCCTGGATTCGAAGGGAGAGAAATGAAAAAAACCGAAAGAGCCCTTACTAAGCTGAACATAATTATAAAGACACCTGTGGCCGTATTCATCATTGATACCTTGAGGTCAATTCTACCTCCAGGTAGTTTTATCACTCATTATCAGCAAGTATCCGTATTCACAAAGCACCTTAAGGTAAATTCTCAATATAATTTTGCTGATAATGAGTGATAAAACTACCTGGAGGTAGAATTTACCTCAAGGTACCAATGATAAATACGGCCAGTGGTTTTGAACGTTATCGCATCCCCTGGCTCTAACATTTTTTCCTACGGTTACTTACCAAAATATGAAGCATTTGCAACATACGCGACCTGTCACCCTTTTCAAAGTGGAATGAGCACTGCATTTTTCGCTTTCAGTAGCACCAAGAGTCAATCTGCTTCGACAAACAGCTGGTCTGAGGAGTTTTCAAGCTCTTGTTCATCTCAGATGATAGTTTTGGAATACACTGAGCCTTTTCAAATAAATGAGTTGAGGAGCGCTTTCTTAAACTCTGCGTGATCGCTGATATTGACGAGCAGACTCCAACCTTACCATTTGTCACGCTTTCAAACCACAAAACTCAATTTTCAAGCAAGAAAGCACTGTAATGTAGACATCACGTCGCCTGTGCAACAGTAAACTTGTGTGCATAGTTAGGAAAGTATTAGGTTGTAAACTAAGTTTTGCAACTGGTCTCACAACTTCCCTCTCACTCAACATGGCTCACTCAAGTTTTGGCATTATGTAGAGAGTAATGTGTGCTACAAGCATGCACAAACCGTTTGAATTTTGAACACGAAATAGAAAAGTTTCAGGCATTTTTCGAAAACTAGTGAAGTTTGAGAAGTTTTGGGGTTTCAAGCTAAAATGAAGCCTTTAGCAGCCTAGCCATGCGCAGTAATCCGGATTCGTCTACAAATTATTGCCGGAGGTTGACTTCTTTGGCCTAGTAAGAAAAAAACAAAATTTAGGGTCATGTCGAGATTTGGCGTCCTCATAAAGTCGAACGAGTCGATGTACGCAAGAGCTGCTAGGACGTCAATGACTAAAGAGTTCGAAGCTCAAATTCCACCGAGACTTTACAAAGTAAGGTTATTTGACCTGCCGAACGCGAATATCATAATTACTTGTTGAATCAACGCCTTTTTCCTTGTTTAGGGTGAGACCCCATATCGTACACCTACAGTAATCCTACAAAAAAGCCTTATCACGCAATTTCACTATCGTTTTCGTGATCAGCATGTCGGATAACACCCCTATGCCAAGTTTCAGCCAAATCCGTCATTTGAATCTTTCCCCTTCAAACCATACACCTACCGTAACCCTCACTGCGACGTCAGAATTTGGTAGAACAGCAGCTGCGCTTGTAGCTTACGT